TATTCTTGAAATATTAATGGATGATTATATGTTCACTCCTGACAATATTACATGATTATTAAAAGTAACGTTAATTAGTGTTATTATAATATTGAACATTAAAAAGTATCGTAACATTTACTTTAATTTGTAAACCTACACAGTTTAGTTTAAAAATATATTTAAACTAAAAATAATTTTGACGTGCAATTGTAACTGGATACGTAAAATCACACCGAACATTATTTAAACACAAGACGCATAGACTGATAAGACATTTTCGCGTTACTAGATTGTTCAAATTGCACCAATATAAAAATAATTAATATTAATATTTTAATATTGCAGGGATGTTAAAAGAAGCACGCACGCACGCATGCACAAGTGAACATTTAATAAAATACTCTCAAACATTAAAAAATATTATATACAATATTCTCAAAATATTATAACTTATTTTAACTTTTTTAATAATATTTATATAACATTTTAAGAATATTTTGCACCTATAGAGATAGTATTACATATACATATATAATATTTCCCTAGTTTTTCCACGTTTTTTTTTCCAAGAATAGGAGCCCAGATGATCAAGTTTTGGTAGTTATAAACTAATAAAATGAAATAAATAAATAGTAACAAGAAATGATAAATAATAAGTAGTAATGTCGACGTGATGAAAAATTGCAAGTCATATTACAAATAATACTGATTATTTATTATACATGAAACTGACTTTTACTGTCATAGCAGGCATATTGAAATAAAATTCAAAAAAATGGCGGAATAAAGATTAAGATTACTCTGATTGGCTGTACCAATTGAACATGCGCAAGAATATATCTTGTCTACATTATGTCGCGAGAAGCGTCAAATGGATATTTATATATCTGTATATATGTACAAAAAAGTGATATAAAATTTGATTTGATTGATCAAATCAAATTTTTTTATTCAATGCAGTCGACGAAAAATTTCTGATTTCCGATTGCCTTCGTAAAATCTTATTTTTTTGTCTATACAAAATATCCCTGTATGTAAAAAAATATATACATATTTATATATAAGATTGACAAAAAAAAACTTTAAAATTATTTCTATGTACTTATAGTCTTTTTTTATTTACGAACTAAAAGCTGTATAAGAGAAATAAACGAAAACTAACATTTTACTCTTCGTAATCGCACTCAAGGTTAACTCACTCAAGAATCATTAAAGCTCACAGATTAAAAAGATAAGTTATATATAATTATTATGTTCGAGTTATATGTAACTATTATATACTATTATATAAGGCAGATGTATGAGAATTGTGGCATGCGAGTGCCATTGAGTTTCGCGAGGAAGAGATCTAGGATCTAAAAACAGCCTGACTTCAAGTAGAGATTTTATTGAAATATAAGGAATCTGTACCAGACAGAACTAAAATTACCGTTGAATTTGGTACTACCGGGGTTCACGTATCGTATATGCCTGCGTAGTCACTGCGTTATCGTTTCATGTCTTTTTTTTCATCTCCCTTTTCTCTTTTTTTTTTTATCAGTATAAGTAGTCTGAATATATTTATAAGTACAGAAACAATATCGAAGGTACGCGCACAGTCTATCTTGAAATTCTAAAGCTAAAAAAAGGATTTCTCTCTTTTTTCTCTCTATAGCTCTATTAGTTGCAATTTTACATTTACAACTAAAGGGGTAGGGGGGAGGGGATTTCCGCATCTCTTTATCTATGTACAACTGATAATTCAAAGATTTATATAAGCCATCCTTCTCACACATGCTCCGCCCATCATAGTGAAACGTACAAGTGTCATTCAAACTATGTATGTACAATTTTCTTTTTACAGGAAACGCTTTCCATATAAATATATACAGTGGTTTACATTACACAACAATATGAAATGTACTTCAATTTTCGCATTGATAATTATAACGAACATGTCAATCTAAATCTTATGCGAATGGCCCCTGTTTAAAAACAAAAGGAACAAACACGCACATAGATCTATCTCTTTGATCTGTTTTCCAAGAGGAGTTGTCGGAATTTCCTTTTTTGACAAATTTCTCTAAAATCTCATTGTGTCCCAATGACCATTGGGACACGCAATAAATCGTGCTAGATGCAAGAAATAACATCTTACCGAACACACTCACAAATAAGACACACCGCACATATATAATACATTCTAATTACAATTATATTAAGGACGTAGAAACCTAAAAGTTCTCTCGTATTAATTATAATAAATAAGCAACGTATATATATTTAAATTTAACGTATCGTGCATGTTAAATATATAAACGTGTTTAATATATTTAAATATATACTTAACACGTTTAATATATATTTAACCCGAGAAACTCTTTTTCTTTAACATAACACTATCCATAGCAGGGGCCCTACCATGTTGTAGTCTTCTGCTCCATCAAGTAACCACATCGCGCTTTAGCGATGCTGTACGTGTCTAATATATATGACAAGAAATTCCAAAAGCAAGTATTGAGACACTGATCTAATTTCGCTAATTTCAAATTTCTGTCCCTATAAATATGCGAGAAAGAAACATATATATTAAATATTTTATTCATTTGCAAATAAGCGCAAGCATAATTGTCACTTGTATTTGGTCACCTATCACCTAAATGTAAAACGAAACTATGTAGCTAACGTACTGTGCTTGAAACACACAGAGCATCTTCTGAAGAATATTCTATTATATCAGCATAAGACCCTGCGCACAATAGAAGGAATAAGGAAGAAGAATAAACGATTTCAACCCAGAAATCGTGTACTCCGATATATCCGATTTCTGATAGATAAAAATCGTTTAATTGCAATTTAATTTGAATGTTGACCATGAATATTTGGAACGGTTGTAATGAATTTATATCGCTAAATATGAATAATTTGCGGATCCTTTATCTTTTGACTTTGATTTTTGATGTTCACGTCTTTCATGGCTATATGGATTTTTATCTGTTATTTATTACCACTGGAATTGTCAATCATTGCCAATAAAATAATGAGATTGAATTGCCATTCTATCGTCATGAAGAAGTGAGAATTTTACAACATACGTTTAGACATACTGATCATGGCCGAAGTAGGCCGAAACGTTTGCGTAACTAATACTATAGTTTTTCGATAATAAACGATTTTTATTTTCGCACAATCGCGCAAAAAACTCTCATTAGCCCTTATTTGTTTTTGTTTTTTAAAATCGTTTATTCTTTATTCTTAATTCCTTATTCCTGCTATTGTGCGCAGGGCTTAAAGAAACAAAAATTATTAGCTTATTGTATTTTCGTACTTCTTTTCATTATTTTTTCAAATATATTATTCGAATTTAATTGCTTGAATTTCTTTATTCTTTCTCACGTGGCTTCTTTAATACCGCAATATTTGCTCCGTACAGAAGCAAATGTCAAAGAGATCTAATAATCAGTAAACGTCATTTGAAGAAAAAAATCAATCTTCGATAAGAAAAATAATTAAAGAAAATAAAAATATATAAAAAATGAGAAAACGTAATACTATATTCCAAAATAGTATGTTGTTTTTTTCAATTCAAGAGAAAGAAAAATTTTTAAATGTCTCAATCTGTTGAGATACAACAACAACCATGGCATCATAAGCTATTCGCAAATTGTAAATTTTTTCAATTATTTATCTTTCTGAGAGTTTATAGATTTTTTTCTCACAAATCAGAGAATAAAATTTTCATTTATAAACGAACATAAATAACAAGAAGGAGCTACAAGCCAGATTTTTATGTATTTCATTTGAAATTTTACTTATGTTTTATTTATGTTTATTTTATTTAGGATGACATTCGTTCATTTGAAATACATAAAAATCTGGCTTGTAACTCCTTCTTGTTATTTATGTTTTTTTATTATTATTAAGCCATTATCTTTAGCCTTATTTTCATTTATATAATCATGAAATATGAGTGAGTTTTAAACTTTATTGTGTGATAAGAGCGTTTACCGGAAAGAATTGATGACGCGTGCATTGTAAACGGAATAGTAATAAGTGTAATAATGAGAAGATTTAATCAATGCAATCTACATGAAATGATTGAAAGACATTTTGAAAGTCGCCTAATACACTATACAGCATCACCAAAACGAGGTAACAGTATACCGAGTAGCGTGTAAATATAATCAGATGTTGAATATAATTAGATTTGGATTGTTGTACTAATTTCAACGCGCCTTTATCATCAAAGGAGCATCCTCTTATTTGGTGATATTTGACAATCAGAATCTACAAATAAAATGAATTCACTAAGAGATATGCAATAATCTCGCGGAATTGTCACAATTGTGATATATGCTGGATTTTCTATACTAAATAAAAATAATTAATTATATACCAAGTGAGAATATACACAAAATCGAATAAAATATTCGATAGCATCGAAATGCATCTATTATTAAATTGGTATCGCGAATTAATTTAAGTCGAACAAGAAAACGCATCACCATTGATAATGATTGAAATATTGCGCGCAATTGTGTTTCCTCCGAATCGAATGACATTTTGTAATCGCCTGAAATTTTTGAATCATACACTTTCTTACATACATTCAAAATATAATTTACACATTTTCTTTCGCGATACTATTTTCCAGCACGTAGCAAAATATTCACCGATGAATAGGATACAACATTGTAACGTGTTGAAAACCATTTTTTTCTCTTCAAAATAACTCGGAACATCTCCCCCCAAATTGCTTCCACGAAGCAGTTTCAGTATTCTAAAAATGAATTAGAAAAATATTTTTTTTCCTAAGTATATCTCGTGTATATAATATATATCCCGTAGTGTAAAAACAAAAGTTGAAGATTTTTACTTTATAGCATTCTCTTAGCGTTCTAAGACAAGCAAATAATAAAATCAACTAGAAGATATATTAATGTCTTCTAATGTCTTCCAGATCTTTAGCGTAATTAAAAATCTACCAAGCATTTTAAAATATATCATGATAGCGGTATGATGTATACTCGGTAATGAATATCATACCGGCATTGTCTAATCTTTATAATCAATTTACATAAAATCGTACACAATGATCTGTCTGGACACAACGATCAATTTTCTGTTAAAAAAAATCGCAGATCCTCCTGTAATTAGGTCTGATTGATCTTTCAGCATCTGTTTGATATTCTTGGGATTTCAATTGGTGCTCCAAGATCTTTACGTGATACTTTCGCGATTTTCATTGCGATACTTAACATGATGTCTTGATATATCACAAGACAAAATTTAATTTGCTTGGTATCCTGACAACATCTAACGAATGAAAATAATTTATATTTACATATTGTGATTCAATACAACTTAGAGCGGATACTTCCGTTGCAGGACCATCAAAGATGTTAGATTCTTGAAGCTCAAAGAGTTTCTTTGGGATCTCTTTCTCGAAAGAAACCTTTTTCAGTCTTGCATTCCCTGATGGTAACGGTCTTCAGATTAACAGTAACGTCTGTAATAAATACTTGATCTGCCACGGGGTTTCTCGCGTGCCAATAATCCGTGCCAGGATTTGTGAGTGGAACATAAATTTCTGACCTTGAAATCTCGGTTTGTTTGACGCTTGAATTATTATTGTTGTTGTTATTGTTATTATTGTTATTATTGTTATTATTATTATTATTATTATTATTATTGTTATTATTAGGGCTATGGTGTCCATTCACGACAGTGTGTAACCTGTTGTTATTAGTGTAAGAGTCTGTGGGGCTTGGTGATTTGTGACCGTTCGCTTTGTCAGCAGCAACTGCACCATTCGATTTGTCCAGCTTTTGTTCCGATAATTGCTTCTTCTTTGTTGTAACTTGCTCTAAAGGTGTATCTATCTGAGGAGACAGCGGTGCCGGTGGTGCACGCGGGAGAGAGGGTGGCGGACCATGAGGTACATCAGCTTCGGGACGTTTTTTGTCCTGTACTGCTGGTGCCGGTGTCGTTGGCACTGCCGGCAAAGGTTCTTCCGGTGTCGATTTCACGCTGGAGGATGACGGCCTTCTTTGATTTTGTCCGTTGGCTTTGTGACTCTATAATATAAAATGTAAATCTTGCTTTTATATCAATCAGGAAGATACAACATCAAAATGCCATTATTGATATTTTTAGTATTTCCCTTTTGAATGTTTTTGTGTATCCATTAGACGCACTTTTATCATTTTATAATCTAAATGAATGGCAATTCATGTACGCAAGTTATATAAAAAATTTTTATATATCAATTAGATCAATGTTTTTAAGTTTTTGCTGCAACATTAATTAGTTTGAGAATTTTATTTACGTATTTTTAATTTGTTACATGTATATAAAACATTGTTTTAATTTCATATCATAATTTAATTTTAGTATTATAATTTATTTTTAATAGCGTTAAATGATAATGAGTTATTATATAATTATATATAATTATCGAAACTTACATAAGATGGATTTGTGGGGTTGTTTTTCAAAGGCAATAACCGAGGAACTTTGCTCGGAGGGGGGCTACCACTGCCACTGCTAGGACTACTCGTGGTAATTGTTACGCCAATCTTGCCAGATCGACTAAGAACTTCCGCCTTCCTTTTCATACGTTCTTTTCTAGGCAATAGAGGTATATCCATACTACTGACTGAACTGTCAGAATCGACGCTGAACGTTGATGCTAATTCTGGCGATTCATGGCTATCTAAGGAACTTGGGAGGGTATCCTCATCAGGAGCTACTGGATTTAAACGAGATGCTGAAGTGCTGCCCGTCGTCGATTCATCTTGACTGTCTTCGCCTACTCTTTCATCTCCGCCAGGTTCCTCATCAACAACAAGATTAGACAGTTGTTCCTGAAAATGAAGATGAATGTCGTCGAATTAATTGTATGCAAAAAATACGTTTCTAATCCAACTTGATGATCCTGTTAACTCTCGAGTTTAAGTTACGATTATTTTATAAAATGAAGAAAGATTTTATGAGCAGCTATACTCAGCGAAGAAACCATAAAGTTCGCTAAAATACTAAGCTATTAAAGTGATTCAGTGAAATGAGCAAGTGATAAATGGTCTCTTGAGATACTTAGTACCAAAAACATGATACTATAACATATAAATTATATATACATATAAATTGCAAAATGATAGAAGAGTTTTCGACTTTAGTTCGCTTTACCTATCTATGAAATGTTTGGCGATTATTTTGGGACATCCTGTGTGTATATATCCTGTGTATATATATTGTATCTACATATATATGTATACTATTTATTAATTATATCACATATGTATACCATATATATATAAAATTTAATTATATTACCTAATTATATTATATTACCATATATATTA